CCCCCCCCGCCCCCTTTCCCTTCCTCTCCCATCCCCCTCTGCCCTCCCCCTTGCCCTGCGGGTGAGCGTCTTCCTTCCCCTCCCCCCCCTTTTCCGCCTCCCTCCGTCTCTCTCCGCCTCCTCCCTCTCAGCTCGCCGGGCGACCCTGCTTCTGCCTCCCACGTTAATGGCGGCATCTTCGGAGGACGATATAGACCGGCGGCCCATCAGAAGAGTCCGCTCCAAGAGCGACACTCCGTACCTCGCGGAGGCCAGGATCTCCTTCACCCTGGGGGCAGGTGAGGACGAAGCTCTAGCCTTGCTCTCTCCGCCACGCCGCTTCCTTGCCTCCTCCCCGGCGGGCTCTGCCCCCAGCCCCTGGTCCCCCTCCGCCCCCCGGCCGTGCCCTCCCCTGCGCCCCACTTGCTACCCAGCCGGGTCCCTGGCGCTCGCTCGCTCGCTCTCTTTGTGTGCCGAGTAAGGAGGGGCGTGTGTGTGTGTGTGTGTGCGTGCGTGTGCGTGCGCGTGTGCGTGTGTGTGTGGAGCAGGTGGGGGAGGGTAGTGCGTGGAGCCCTGCCTCCGCCGGGGAGTCGCACGCGGGCTTTCCCCTTCCTTGAAGAGATGTGTTGTCACTGATAACAATGATCGTAGGCGTAGCCGAGAGCTGGGTCGGGATGCTCCACCGGCTGTGGGCAGAGGGTTTGGCAAGGCTCCGCTGGTGTGGTTTGCTGGTGGGGCTACTACAGGGTGGAACTTGTTGGTGACGTTCCGACTCTGGTGATTTTGCCGGGTTGATACACGCCTGCTGCGGTTTTGGAGTGAGGAGGGGCCGGGCGGAGTTCACAGCTGGGAACGGGACCAAGCACTTGGCAAGCAACCGTAGTGATGATAATAACAGTATGGTCTATAGGATGCATATGGGGTGATGATAGGAAGCTGTCGCTGGAACTGGTGCGCAAAGTGGCCCAGATGGAATTAAGTGAAAAGGGTCACTGACGTGGAGGAGGGCGGGAAAGAAGGGGGAAGAAGAGAGGAGGACAGAGGAAGGAAGGGAAGGAGAGAGGCCCGGAGAGGGGGAGGAAGGAAAAGGAAGGGAGGGAGAAAGAAAGAAGGAAGAAATGAACCACAGAGAAGACGGAGGGATTCAGGGAGTTAAACTGAGAGCTGTGAGGGTTAACTGGAAGGAAGCACCCAGTGCCCGCTGTCTCCACTGCTGCTGCGGCTCCGGATTCACAGGCAGACCTCACCTCCTGTTACTAGTAGATGGTCACTATCACCCAGAAGAAGTTGTTAGCTACTAACTTCACGGGGCTGCCTTTTCTGAAAGACTGCTAAGTCTCTCCCTCCAAGCTTGTGTCTCTTCCTTTCTAGCATCCCTTGGTATTCTAGCAACTCCAGTGCAAAAAGAGTGAGGGCATTTCCTGAAGATCCTCCTTCAAAATAAGTTTAAAAAGAACATGATATCAATACCTTTTTCTTTAGGAAACTCAACCCTTGAAAATGGAACTGAATCAAGCAAAGTGTGTGTGTGTGTTTGTGTGTGTGTGTGTGTGTGTGTGTGTGTGCGCGCGCTGGAACAAAGAGAAACTTCAGATAACGACTATTTTACACATTATCGAGAAGTTTGAACAAAAGAGAAAAGTCTGCATAAAGAAACAAGATGTGTTGGCTAAGGAACCATATTTTATGACCGGTAGGATGGTAACTGAACGTGCCAAAGTAGCCAAGTTCTTTGGAGTGTAATTTTCCTGTCTTGGTGATTTTGATTTTTTTTAACCCTGTGTTTTCTCGTCACCCCTGAAATGTTTGCCCCTGGATTTGGCACTGGAGAAAGAGGACTTTATTGGAGGAGGCTTTGACAGTTTTTGTGGCATGCTGTAGTAGCCTATGGTCTCCATTTGGAACTATTAATCCTTCACTTGTATGTTCCAGGTTCAGAATATGATGTGAGGGGTCTTGGAAAGGACTGAGAAGAGTTCCTTTTAGGATTGAGATTGTTTTCTGGCCCAGAGAAATTAAGAATTATTCCTTTGCTATCAAACTCTGGTATATTCCCTTGGCGTCTTTGGCTTAGCAGAGAAGGAAAGGGGCTAAAGAGGCAGTTAATAAGGTTGTTTACCTACTACTGATGCTTTTACAACAAAATAATAAAATAAAGCACTAAAAAAGAGTTTCAAGTTTCTGCTACTGCTGAGTCGGGCTGAACCATTTTGCCACCAGATTAAAGCCGGTGACTTGCAGTCTTTTATCCCGCTTAAATTGTTCTGGAGGCCAATGAAAAGATTGGACTTTTCAGACAAGACTTGTCTCCCTTCCATCTGGAAATAAACAAGCCAAACAAGCTCCCAGTCCCTTATGAATATGTTCCTTAGAGTAGCCTTAAAAGCACAGTGTCAAGAAAGACAGCAGCAAGAAAGAGAAATGCGGTGGGAGAGGATGTTTCTCAAGGACGGAGGAGGGCAGTTGTTGAGGGTTCTGCTCTGCGACTAGGGGAGCTGTCCTCTCGGTGGTGCTGAAGCCAAGGGCTGGGTGAGAGGCGTGACTGTGAGCCCGACAGCAGAGGGAGGGGTGCTCAGTCCCTCTCTGTGATGGAATCCCAGGGAAAACGCGCACGGTCTGGCCACCTAAAACTTTTCTATCCCTGCCCACCTACGTTTGCCGCCTGTTTACTACGCCTCACGCCCACTGCTCCACTGCTCAAATCGGGAGGTTTTGCTCTAATTTTGTGCCGGCAGCTCACTCCTGGGGCTTTGTTGATTTTCCAGCTGGTTTCTGGCTGCTTTTCTGACATAGTATAAGATCTACTCGCAGATGTGCCTTTCCCTCGCGTTTAAAAGTAATTGTAACCCGCGGTTTAAAAAGCAAACAGCCTTGTTTATCTCCTTGAGCAGCAACTTGTAATTAAACTATTAGTGTCGTTATCAGCGTTGCTGAAGAGAGGAGCCTGCATACTCTGGATAAATTATGTAATTTGGGCATAGAGGGAATTTTGTTTGTCTCTTAACAACAATTTATAAACAATTAAGCAAGGAAAGCTTTCATCTGCCCTTTCTTCCCGCTCCTCTCCTACCCCTAGCCACTTACTCTTTATTCTTTCCAGAGAAATTCTTTATTGGTTTAAACTATTTATGTTTAGCATTCCCTTTCTCACACCCACTCATTTTATATAAGCCCATGTTTAATATTTGAGAGGTTTAGTAATGCTTCAAGGAAATAAATATACACATATTCATTTTACTTGGAAATCATGATATCATGAAATCATCTGGGGACCAGCTCCCTTAAAACTAATGTGTACACTTGCCAGATAAAGTGGACTGGGTATTTGGAATGCTGATTCAATACTTAAGCATTCCTTCAACTACACCCTGTCCCTGATGGTACTATTAATATCATTTCAGAAATAACTCCACAGCTTGAGTGAAGCATGTAATCCTACAGTCCCAGGCCCGTCAAAGAATAGCACCAAAATGTGGGTCTTTCATCACTTTATGAAGATGCTAATTTCAAGGTTCAGTCTAAATTGAGAGAGTAGAGAACAAAATTTTTTCTGAACCACGACTTTATTTTTCTAAAAGAGCCTCTTTTGTAGGCTTTTTAACTTCTGTTTAGCATATAGTATATGCAAACATTGATAGTTGATTGTTTGCTGAGGGTAGTATACATGGTAGAGAGAATTAAGCAAACGTATTTGCTGAAAGTTACTCAGACACATTAGATCTCATTTAAAACACTGGAAGAAGTTATTTTCCTGAGAAATTCAAATGTGTTAGAAGGACATCGTGTAACAGAAGAGTATGTTCACACTATTCGTAGCAAGTGTTTCTAATTGTGTTCTCACTCAGTAATGAACATCACTGACATTTAGCTCGTAAGAACTTACCCTGCCTCGTGAGGTCATTCATTCACTGCATGGAAGTGACTGCAATGTAGATTTGCAGCTCATCTGGCAAATATTTCCCCATGGGCTAGTTTACTCTATTTATTTTTACATTAACAGTATATAGAAGAATATTTGATACATAGAAGGTACTGAAACAGAAAGGTTCTCCATAATTACACACCAAAATGAATGAAAGTGTTGTGATAAATAGAAGATTTAAGCACATCTAAAAT